AGAATTTTATTCGGGATTTTATGAACAAACAATTAATAAAAGTGAACACCTAACTAGTATTTCCAAACAGGTAAACATATCAGTAGAAAGTCGGGTTCACTTAGCGTTCGTCGATCCATTAAAATCTGAATGCGTGAGACATGTCAACACCTCACAGATCTAAAACTGACCAATGATTGGCCACAGCTATGACAATCTAGACCAATAAGGGAGCCAGGTTGATCTCCTCCCTCCCCCACCCCCCCCACCCCCACCCTAGTGCATCATCCCAAGTTAAGATTATCATCCTTAACTGATGATATAAGAACGTATCTAACCGGCCTACGTAACCCTACAACCCAATACTGATAGTCAATATGGAGTCAAAATTACAGAGACTCTACCATAAACACGTCTGCTTGTTCTCGTATCCCCAGTAAGAGGTGAAACGAATATATTTTAGAGTTTGATGGGTTTCGAAGGTCAACGCCACTCACTTCCTTTCTCAGGTAATTAATATATCTCTGGCCTCATCACCTGGGAGTCGCGTTCAGATAAAAGCCAAGTTGAGTTAGTGACTGAAGAGGGAGATATGGGGTGTGATAATGTGCCTCCCTCACTCACACCCACCCCCTGCTCCCACCCATGACGACGACAACCAATACCACCAATCACTATACCACTATTACCAGCCACTACCACCGTCACCATCATTATCATCACTGCCACTACTACTACTACTACCAAATTTACAATCACCGCAATCACTACCACAACTACTATTACCATCACTACCACTACTCACCACAACCACCAAGACATTAAATAAGGGATTAACTGGTAATGTCTGAGAATTTTTCATATTGATGACAGTAGTAGTAAGTTAGTTCTATATTTCCTCACATTTAACCACCTGAGTACGAGGATTTAAATCCCTAAGTGCAATTTTATCGTACTCAACGGAATTGGTTATCATATTTGAAGGACTGAAGCATCGTACTCAAGGGGAAAAAAACATTATACTCAATGTTACTTCATTGTACTCACGTAGTTTAGCATCGTACTCAGGGGGTAAAGACATCACACTCCAAATAATAATTTAACGTACTCACGTGGTTTAACATCGTACTCAAATAGTTAAGGGAAAACAAAAGAAGAAACACTAGGATAACTTTTGAAACATGGAGAAGTATATCGGTGTGTTGAGATATATCGCCGCAACACCGTATAATCCAGACACTAATTTGACCTCATCACTCTCAATAAAGCGAGCTGTTAGTGTGGGATTCTAGTGTCTCATTTGACACCTCTATTGGGGCGTTCTTCCTCGATATTGTCTTCCTCTCGTTGTTGTTGTTCTTGATGGTGATGATGTTGTTCTTGTTGTTTTGCTGCTGTTGTTGTTGGTGGTGGTGCTTCTTGTTCTTGTTGTTCTTCTTTATCCTGTTGTTGTTGTTGTTGTTATTCTTCTTCTTGTTCTTTAGTGTCGTTCGTCCATTTTAATGTTTCCATCTTTATCCGTCTCTCTGAATACTTTTTTTCCATAATGTTGTTTTCTCTTGTTTTTTTCCTTGGTATTCGCCGTTCTCAACTCTTTCCTTCTTTCTTCTTCCTTTCTTGTTTACTCTTTCTCAAAATTGTCTTCTTTCTCCTCTCCTCTCTTGGCTTTCTCAATTTCTTTCAATTTTCACGTTTTCTCTTGTGTGGGCTAATGTTTTCTCTCTATCTTCCTTATCTCTATTTTATCTTCTTTGTCTCGTTCTTTATCATTTCTCTTCTAGTCTGTCTTTTTCTTCTCTCTTGGTTATCATTCTTGAGGCTGTTATCCCTCTTCCATATGGAGTTCAGTGACATGCAAATATTTTTTTTTCTTCGTTCTCTTTAAAGGACATTTGTTTATGCAGACCTAATTCAATTTCTTGTTCTAAATATAACAATAACCCTTAGAGAGAGAGAGAGAGAGAGAGAGAGAGAGAGAGAGAGAGAGAGAGAGAGCATTATTTAACCTAGATCAACTCCAAAGACATTATTGAAATGCCAAACAAGTGAAAACATCCAAGGGAGATCATCAGAGACAATAAACTTATAGAAAATACAACAGCTGTATACAAAAACAAATAAGCATCATCCACTTATATGAATCTAAATAACTGAACTTATCTTTATATGTATAAAGGGATTTTAAACCCATCATGCTAGCGCTGAGTGTCATGTAGGAGCGTGTCAGTCACCCCAGCCACTGTATGCGTGGATAATAACTCTCGCTTGATGGCCGACTCATTTTGATCTGCTTTTAAGAGATTATCTTGTCGCCTTTTCCCTGAGTTCTGACGCTTGGATACTCTAAGGCAGGGGTTCTCAACCAGGGGGGAATTCCCCCCAGGGGGGGAATTCAGGTTTTCAGGAACTGATTCGGGAGCAAGAGATATGTTCGATGAGAAATCAATCACAGAATTTTGGCCCTTGATGTGCGATTCCTACCCAAAAGTGGCAGAAAGAGCTATCCGTGCATTGCTTCCGTTTGTGTCGACATATCTTTGTGAGTCAGGCTTTTCAACTCTGTTGCAAATTAAAACAAAGCAACGTAGTAGATTCGAGGTAGAAAATGACCTGCGTTGTGCCCTTTCAAGCACTCCTCCGCGTATCCCAGAATTGGGGAAGAAAAAACAATCACAGGTTTCTCATTGACTGTAATCTTCATCTGAATAAAATTAATCACAAATTTACAATATCCTGGTATTCTATTGAACTTTTTGTTTATTGCATTATGCTTCAGTTTGGTCTGTTAAGTAATTCATTATAAATATAAAAAACTATTTTACTTTTATTCAAGTTTTATAAATCCATCAACATTTTCAATTGACATTTAATTTGTAAAACTCCACTATAAAAATAATCCATGTAAAATTGTAAATGTATATGTACTAATATGGACAAAATAAAGGTTTTTCAGTATTATATGCATATTATTTGGAATGCACTTTTTGAGGCAGACAATCTTGGAAAGGAGGGGGGGAATGACATTCTGACATATGGTGAAAGGGGTGCATGGGGCAAACAAGGTTGAGAACCACTGCTCTAAGGCTAATATGTTGAAAATCTCTCTTCTCTCTCTCGGATTCTTCTTTTTTCATTCATCTTCTTCTCTGCGTGTTCTTCGAAGTAATTTTTATCATCAGGTAAATATATTAAGGTGAACATGCGTATTAAACTACATACATGATGGGTGCCCCTCATGTAACGAGGATGGCCGGCCCAACGGCCACCTAAGCATGAATTTGTTTAAGCTGTAGAAGCTGTCGCCAACACAACAACCACACCCTAAGTTAACGAGGTTCATGACCCGGTGTCAAGGAATAGTCCGAGAAGATCGAACAACTCGCCAACTGCACTGGCTAACCATTACCCTGGAACACGATCCGCAAATCGATTAACATCCAGGTTCCCAATTACTGCTATGGGTAGACAGATATATAAATATATATATATATATATATATATATATATATATATATATATATATATATATATATATATATATATATATATATATATATATATATATATATATATATATATATATATATATATATATATATATATATATATATATATATATATATATATATATATATATATATATATATATATATATATATATATATATATATATATATATATATATATATGCTGATAACCACAAGGAAAGAAGAAAACACGAAGTTCCCAAGCGCTTTCGTGTAATTCACATCTTCAGGGGTGAGTACAGACTAGAGAGAGAAATACAAGGTGTATATTTAAAGATTAGTAGGGTCACTTCAATACCTGACCATTGGACCTGGTCTCACCCTCCTCTGAATATATACACTTGGTTTGTATTTCTCTAGTCTGTACTCACCCTGAAGATGTATTTTTTTTATATATATATATATATATATATATATATATATATATATATATATATATATATATATATATATGGAAAAACGGGTATAGCTTTCGCCTTGATAAAGACGAAAGCTAATATTGTTAAAGATATCACTTTCATTGTGGATTTATATATATATATATATATATATATATATATATATATATATATATTCATATAAATATGTAAATAAAATAAGATGATAAATATACACACACACACAAAAAACACAGACAAGAGAGAGAGACTTTACATACATACAGAGAGAAACGAGAGTACCACACTATAACTTCACACACACACACACACACACACACACACACACACACACACACACACACACACACACACACACACACACACACACACACACACACACACACACACACACACACACACACACACACACACACACACACACACACACACACACACACACACATTGTCATGGCTACTTGATTAAGAAAAAGATACGTTTCATGGGTATTTATTTCTCCTAGGAACATAATTTAAACGTTTTCCGTAACTGCTGCTGTAAGTACAACCTCTAATTGGGCCACTTAATCTAATACAAAATGACAAAGGTGTAAGTGAGGCAGTTATATGTGTTCTCACAATTTCAATTTGTAGAAGAAAAAATATCAAACGAGACCTTTTATAATTAATGTCTAGGAATACGAGGCTTTAGGGAGTCTTGGAACCTGGAAATTTAATTAATGTTCCTGTGAGATTCTTGTGTCAGGCTTCTACAGTTGTAAGAGCGTCTTCTTCCCCCCTCTTCGGTCACGCTCCGGCGCAATGTCAGGGCGCATATCAGGAGCTGATTATTACCTGTTGGAGGCCCGAGATTGCATGACACTTAGGTAATAACGCAGCAGGGGTAGGTAGGTAGGTAGGCAGGGCGTCGGCTGTGTCACGGAGGCTGCCCTGTGGAGAGAGGTGGAGGAGGAGCATCGGGGCAGCTGGTGAGTGCAGGAAGGGCGTCGTTTGCTTGAGTAAGGTGGGTGAATCAGTGGTAGGCCCGGGGTGTATAGCTGTACACTGAAGGTTATGATATATCTAAATACACTGAGGGTGCTGATGTTTCCTGCAGGGTCGCCAGCGTCGACGGCGGAGGACGGGGACGAGGATGGAGGTGATGGGCCGCCGCCTTGCAAGAAGCAGAGGAAGGCGCGGACGGCGTTTACAGACAACCAGCTGCAGACACTGGAGAAGAGCTTCGAGCGTCAGAAGTACCTGAGTGTGCAGGACCGCATGGAGCTGGCTGCCAAGCTGAACCTGACCGATACCCAGGTCAAGACCTGGTACCAGAACAGACGGTGAGTTTCCTCAAGTCATGAGATGTTACTGTGACAGGTGGTGAATGTCCCAAGGTCTAGACTAAGTATGAAACATGTTGTAGTTATTAAGAGGTAAATATTTGGTTTCGGAAAATATCTCGCATGTTACAAAACGTGACGAAGGCTGTGTTCGTAGCGTGTCACCATGACGTACTACTGACGACGGTAAGGTTATGATTAATTCCGACAAACCATTTTGCTTCCACAGACAACTTTATCGTTTAGAAGCTGCGTCAAAACATATACAGTACATCACTTCTAAGACATCAGTCATAATCATCAGAAAATGAAACGAACGACGTGAAAGTCGTTTATTTTCTTATCCATTTTCTCTTGCTTGACTCCGAAGGATTACCGCAAGTTAAACCTTAGTCATCGCGGGTGTTTCGTCACGGCGGTGTCACCCTCAACATGGGAGCGACTCGCATCAAGGGAGGTGACAGGGGACATGCAGAGATGAGCTCAGGGAAGCGTTGTGCCTCATTACTTCACAAGACAGCAGCAGCTAGAGCAGGAGCTATACATTTCTGGAGGGAGGGAGGGAGGGAGGAGGGAGGGAAAATAGGTAAGTAGCTAGGTGTGCATCGAAGGGGGAAAGAATTGGAAGGAAAGAAAGAGGAAAGAAGGAAGGAAGGAGGGAAGGAGGCAAGGGGGTAAGAAGGCAAGAGAGGAAGAAGGCAAGGGGGAAGGAAAGAGTGAGGAGGAGTCAAGGTTCTCATGCGTGCTGCCAGCCATTCATCTCTAAGAAGCAGCGCTCCCTCCCTCTCTACTTGATCCAATGTTACGTATCCTGTAATTTGGTTACGATGGTTACCATTCACTCCTCAAGCTCTCTCACCCGTAGTGTTCGCTGAGTTATAAGCTTTTTCTACACCTGGGTGATCCTATCTAACATTAGATGCGTGACTTTCTCTTCAAAACCAAACGCTATAAAAAAAGCATAGTAATTAAGGAATAAATCATAGGCTTGAAGTGTATTTCAGTGGATCAGAAGATAGTGAATGGAATCTTGTACCAGAAACTCAACGAAACGAAAAATTAAGAAAGTCAATTGCCTCAGGTTCACCTTGCTGTGTCGCCATAAAATTGATTATCGGTAGGTTGCACGTCGCCATTGATTTGGTTATTTCCGTGCTGAATGTCACCATATGTCAGGTACTTGCCATAACGCGGGTCATTAACAGTTCGACTCTAAGGTATGTTGCCATACTGGATCAACGTTGCCATATGCTAAGTTCTTGGACCGTTTCTCTATCTCTTCCTTAACTGTTATCGACGATGTTATTCACATCATTCTGGTCTCTCTCACACACACACACACCTATATTTAAAATCACTACTGCACCTGTATCTATCTGTGTGTGTCTCTCTTTCTCTCTTCTTCCTCTTTCTGTCTCTCTCCTTCTCTCTTCTCCCTCTCCCTCTCTCTCCTCTCTCTCTTTCTCTCTTCCCTCTCTCTCTCACTCGCATCGTCAAGGTGAGAAGCACGAGGTGAGACACATGGTGGCCAATTAAGGTTGACAGTTCTTACCTGCGACAACTCTCACCAGGCGGCGGGAGTCTTGGGGCGGATTCCTGCGTCGCCGTCATACACTTGCGCTGCGCTTTCCCATGCGTCTCAAGTAATAAGCATAACACACACACACACACACACACACACACACATGCAAGATTATTTTCTCTTCCTACTCCACATGTCAAGAAGTGCTCAATACACTGACCTTCTCGGCTCTCTGATCATCACCATGACCTCATCTGCAAATTTGGTGAGAAACTTCTGCACCATCCTCGACACCGGCTCCTGCATCCACCCGAGATCCGTAGTCCGCGAAATGCTATTCAACACCACAACCGCATCCAGCCTATACTAGCACGTACTGGTCGCTATAAGAACAGCCCAGTCCCAACCATTGTAAAAATTATCAACAACTCGTAATCAACCAGTGTGTTCAATCCCAGCCAATCTTACCTTTTTGCACTGTTATTATGTTGAAATGTCCTGTAGTATGACCTTCTCCCCACCTAGTTATTATAGATCATATTTGTATCACTTATGTTACTTGTATATTACTTGTCAATCAAGTGATCCATTCCCCAATTACCCTGTATGTAACTGTATATTTTCAGCCTTTTGGCTGCAACGCTCTTCCAAGAAACCGCCAATTATTATTATTATTATTATTATTATTATTATTATTATTACTATTGCACACACACACGCGAGCGCACGCGCGCGCGTGCGCACTTAATGTAGAAAATTGTTGTCAAGAGAAAGAGCAAAAAATGTATAAATAAACAAAAACACGTTAGTTAATTGTCGAGTTAATTGTCGAGTATATAATTTATTATTGTATACAAGTAATACAACATCTACCATTTTTATTCTTTATCTACCTATACCTATATACTCTTAACATGATACAACGGTTATTATTGTATACATGGTGTAACCTGGTAATGCCATGTTATCTCTCGCTGTTATCTTACTGTAAACATCTAACTCATCCATGGCATATTAGGCATAATTTAACGTGATCATCGAACAACGCCTATTGTAATTATCACAGAGTCGCCCATAACTATATTACTGTCATCTAGAATCGTAATTATCCCACGGAGTCACTTAAGACACCATTGATGTAGCAGTTATCGTACACCCGTATAATTATAGGAGTTATAGCGTATTCCTTATTTACCGATTTACCGTACAGTCAACTATCCTCCTATTTCTCACTGTTATTACCTATCATTGTAATTATCGTACATACTGAATTGCCTATAACACTACCACCGTATATCCAATTACCGCCATTATCGTACAAAGTCAGCCACAACAACAGTGATGAGCTCAGTGACAACAAATTCGTCGGTAGTGATCATGGCTGTCGTATGGTTTCATCACAAACTACAAAAATTATTGCACATAAGTAACTTCTGCATCACCAAGCATGATAAGAGGGTGACGCTGATATAACTCTAATGAGGACAGTAAGTATGTCTTTTGACGTGGGTGGAGCGTCCAACTGTTCCTTCCATCCGTAGACAAAAATCGTAATTTAGTCCGTCTCCACCCACACTAGGACACGCCCGGAATATCTTACATTAACATGCAATGGTAAAGAGATTAATGGTGATAGCGATTAATGGTAGTGATGATAATGATAATAATAATAATAATAATAAAAATAATAATAATAAAGAGAGAGCGAGAGAGAGAGAAAAGCAAATTACTTCTTCACTAAAAAGTAGGCTGTTCAGTATTTGAAGTCGACAAACTGATACTTTAGGTACGAGTACGCGCACACACACACACATACCTACCCACCCCTCGTCATCAGCTGCCTTACTAACTCTCCTGGGTCTTAAACACCTCCCATATAAGACCTTGTACATCTTCTTAGTATACCATCAACATCCTTCAATCACCTTCATATATGTTGAGGATAAGAAGAAAACTACTCGTTGGATTATCCCTACTTCTTTTCTCGGTCATTATCCTGTCTCTAACGTCGAGCTCATTCTTGCCTCCCCTCTCACTTCCTCTTTTATTCTAAGTTTCTGTTTCTCTTGATCCATCCCTCATAAAAGTAGGAGAGGAGAGAAGATAAATTATAAGAATTACAGAGTCGGATTTAGGTGTCACCGCCAGCCTCGCGACTCACCCCTCAGTTCTTCTCTTGGTGAAAGGGAGAGGCACACCACCGGGTCATCCTGGGTCACGTGAGGTCATGGGTCAAGCCTTACTGTACACGAGTTACAGGCTTAATTTAATATCTGGAGTAAGTTTGTGTATGAGGGCGGGCGGGGAGGTGCGGGGATGAGGAGGGCTGGTGTCAAGGTGAAGGCTGGAGAGAAAAGTGTTGAGGGCTTAGATTCTCAGTGGAACGTAATTTTCTGTTTATGAGGTAAAATTTCGATATAATTTTGGACTCAAGCAAGGATGGGAGGCTGCAGAGGGGAGGAACTCAGTGACCGAATGTTTGAGACTCCGGACACTTAAATTCTTATTGCTGGTTTGAACAATTACAAAGGTATTTTACGCAGGTAGTTTTGGTGAGATCTAACGAATGACGCCAAGCTTTTTTCTCTATTTCACCGCTCGTGATGGTTTGTTCGGATCCTTGATATGCGCCAGGAGTCTTGTAACACTGTATGTTCGACTCAGGACACGGCACCGTAGCCACATCACCAGGAAGGTTGTCTCAGGATACGGTGTCGCAGCATCACCATCATCAACTACCAGGAGTCTCCAGCCAGGCAGTGTGGCGTGTGACGGCGGTGGTGGTGTCTGTGTCAGCGGCGTCAAGGCCCGGGGCGTCTGTGTGTACATCTCCAGGGGATCTAATGCGTAAACGCCCCCACACCGTCAAGGTTGATGACCGTGGCCATCCGTTGGTTCCGTTCATCAATCAAGACGGCAGCCGGGTGTGAAGTCATGCATGGTGAACAACACTTGCTAGCAAAGAACAGCGACGTTCTCCATTACCTTGACCGATCAGGCATGAGAAATTCGCTTAAAGAAGATTTCGGTGATATTTACCATGTCAAAGGAGGGAAGCGAAGAACCCATGTACAGAGTGCTATCTAGTGAGTTCTAGAGACAGGGGAATAGAGATAGAGATATAAAAGATAAAGCGAGAGTAAGAACGAGAGATAGAGAAAGAGGCAAAGAGAAACATATAGCTGCTGGTTTTCATTCTGGTTCCTCGTCGTCGGTAATAATACACACTCGTATACACACGTCAGGCCAGACAAGGACTCACACATGTTCCGGCAAGACTTACCTGAACACAGTGGCAATTTAACAGAAGAGAACCCCACAGCAGGTACCTACACACTTCAGGTACCTACACACTTCAGGTACCTACACTCAACAGGTACCTACATACAGCAGGTACCTACTCAGAGCAGGTACCTATATACAGCAGGTACCTACATACAGAAGGTACCTACACTCAGCAGGTACCTACACTCAGCAG